ATATATGATTCCATCGTCGAACTAGAATTTCATCGAATGGGTTTTGGTAAAAGTCCATTAGTCCGATAACTTTAACGGCACTCCCGAAGCAAACGCACGACGCAACGAATCGGATTCGTTCATTTTCATTTAAATCAGCGACGAGGGTACGTTAGCTTCCCCGTCATTAGATTTTTACTCGAAGAAAACGATTTTACTCAATATCTAAAAATTTATCTAGATATATCAAACAGATAGATCCGAAAATTTTTAGATACTTGAGAAAAACCATTCTTTTCATGTATATCCTCCGGGAACTGAGCCCTCCCACCACGTCAAGGTCGTGAGAGAGAAGATATCATCTAAAAAATGTGATATACAGCTATTATTTATATTACTATGCAATTGTCGGTTGACTTTTAGAAATGAATATCAAGCACACCTCAATTCGTCACCATTGTGAAATAAATTCAGAGCAGACAAAAGGGTTGAATCTCTTATTACGATGTCTGTATGATTAGAGTCAATGGGATGAGCTAGAGATTAATAGAAAAGAGAAATATTTCTTTTATTATCGATAAATAGTTCTAAAGTTACGCTCAACTTTTTATACGAATCATATCACGAATGATGCTCGAAAATAAAAAATTAATTAAATTATTAATTACGCAAACTGTATTAATTGTGAAAGTAGGAATCGCATAAATTGCGTTATTTGCATGAGAGTATTTATTAACGTAGTTTTTTTATGACTCATGTGATACCGTTCGAAGAATAATCGAGAGTTATACAATACTCAAGCGAGATATAAATGTTACATTAAACAAAAATAATTGTCCGTAATTATCGCGAAATAGTAATAAATTCTGTTTTTCCATCGCGTTTTTATTTCGAAGAATGAACCGTACGAAATATCTGTTCCGTGATATATGATTGTCATCGCGATTCTTTTACGAATAAATAATCGTGCGAGCTAGTAATCATATACTGTGAGTATTCATAAAGTACAACGTTTCGTATTACATTTAGCATTTTTCGCGATTATGTTTGAAAAAGAAATGTAAAGAAGAACAGCACGCGTCTCAGCTACCTGGCTGTACGAGACTCGGTAAGAGAATGGCTGCGTTCCGTTTCTCGCTTGATATGCATAATGCATCATTTATCCTTGTTTAACATTCGCTGAATAACAAGGATAAAATGTGCATCATGAATGAAATGGATGCGCATTTTATGCCAATGACTGCGCGGTAACTAGGACGCGTAACTACGCGTAACTACGCGCGCCGTTCTGCTCGTCCGCCCGTCCGCGCCAAAACAAACCCCAAGGTCACGCGCCGATCATTTAACTGTCGAAATATTAACGCACATATTACAAAATGAGTAAAATAATCTATTCGTTACATTTTTAATATTCTCCGATTAATAAGCTTTGTTGCACGATTTCTGCTTTATTTCTTAGATTCATTACGCATATACACAACTCATGAATATTTAGATATTTCATGTGTTCTCACATGTACGGTATAAAAATGAGATTCTTATTGTTAGATATTTCAAATTGTGGCTTTTTGTTACTTTGAATTGTATAAGTCTGTCATTGTCGTCTTATTCCGCATTTTTCATACGGGAAAACAGGTAAATTATATATATATATTTAAATTACATATCTCTAAATGTACATGCTATTTATACATATTATTCTATTCAGTCGAAATTGTTTCATAATTTAAAATAAATTCTGCATTTATCTTTATTTAAAGGATTTATGACATATTATTAATTTTTATGTAATTGTAAATCACCAAAGAGAGCAATAAAAATTGAAATATATTGGAATGTCAAAAACATTTCACGTGAACAATTATGTAAAAAAAAGTCACGCTAGTAAAAATATCTTTTTATTTCATGCCTTTTGTCAGCACATTGCAATTGATACGAAATATTAGAAATTATAAAATAAATGTCAAATATGTATCACAATATAATTACGATATCACATTAAACGCTAAAATTAGATATAAGAAATTGTTTCATTAATTCCGTGACGAAATACTAATTGGATTTTAGTTTATTTTACATACCCAAGCAGCAAAGCAGGGCATCTTGACCAAATCAAAGTCAGGTCGCCCTAATTAAGTGAAAAATTACTAATTTTTGACATAAAAAACGTCTTAGCAGTTAAATATTGTTTGAAGTCTTCTGTACAGGTCGAAAATTACGAAATTTAAACCTATAAAAATGCCTTCAAAATTTAATGACTTCAAAGTTATACATTAGCTTATAAATGACTAAATTTTGACCAAAGCTATGCCTTCAAAGTCGATTTAACTTATAAGTCAAAATTAAAGCTCTGTTTGAAGGAAGTGTGACCTGATTGTATCACCTAATTTCAACCTCATAAGCGATATGACTTAATTGGTTAGGATTACCTAATTTTTTACTATATATAAATCGTTTGTGTTCTTGACTAATATAGGGAATATCTAAGGCACGAAATAAACCTTGTGGTCGCTGGAAATTAACTACAAAGTTGAGATTACCACGGAAAATGACTTATAAGGAAAATTGATCTAAGGTTAGGTCAAAATGCCCTGCAAAATTTACCCTGAAAGTTAATTATTGGTCTTGGACCTTATTAAAAGTCGCCATCCTGTTTGCTGTACAATCGCATCAGTTATTTTCTCTATGTTGATTATGAAGGAGTAAAAAATCGCTTGTTCAAGCAAGACACGTTTTTTTCTCTGTGCTGAGTGTTGTCATGAAAGGTTAAAATTTTTAAAAGCGTGATCGCGGCTTTGACCGTATATAATTATAAGTTAGGTTAAGTTAATTCCGTGATACATACTTACGATCGCGATGTAGCAGACATTTTTCGATATGTATCGATCCAGCGATTTCGACTTTGAGTCAATCTAACTTATAAATAGGGAAATTTGACTTGTTAGTCAGAATGCCTTAATGGTCGACAAGATGACATCAAAGTCAACGATTTTGAAGTAAAAATGCCCTGATTAAGGAAATTTACTCTCAAAGTTAGACATTTAGCCTTAGCAGTAAGGAAATTCGACCTATAGGTCAGTATTTGGACGAAAACATTAAATCAGCCATTATTGTAAGATTGTTCTGTCCGCCATGATATACTAAAACGCTTTCTAAAATTGAGCATTAATAAAAAATAAATTATATTATATCTCTCGGAATGTTAAGGATTGAAAAAAATATCTATTTTATGCTACTGTTAGCGTAGGTGCGAGATTAAAACATTTTTATTATACTAAGTGCAAAAATATATTGTTGTTAAATAATTAACGATTAATTAATAATTGTTTAAATTATATATTTTCGCAGGCGCGTTGATTTTAACGAAGTAAACTAAAAATCTGTATAGAAAATTTTCTTTCGCACTTATATTTCTGTCACGTATCATGCGATATTCGGTTTCAGAACCGACGTAAAGAAGGACTCTGTTACTATTTTATTTCGAACTTCCATGGCTGGTCGGAACCATATCAAGCACATGTTATAGCTGTAGTGTGATTCTCCGTCTTGGTAGAATTATTATGGAAATGTACAGTGTTGCCCTCTCGGCGACAAACACTGAGTCGTCGAAAGAAGGGAGGGCACAAATTGGTCAGAATTAGGTCAAAATTACCAAAATATTACCGATATTCGACCTTTTATTAGGTTTATTTGACCAAATCGGACTATGACTTATAAGACGAAATGCCTACCATTACTTAATTTCGACCGTAAAATTACTTCAACTTTATTCCCCACTTACCTTCTTTCGACGTCGATTCGACGTAAATTGGGATTGGTCAAACAGACTTTTCAACCTATTAGAAGGTCGAATACACGTAATTTCGCCCTATTTTGCTGCTTGGGTAATATAAAAAATCAAAATTATCAATATATGAATATGTATATGAGGTTCGGTCATATATTTAAAAAATAAAGATATTCAAAATACATATTTTTAATAAAAAAAAAAGATAAAAGAGTTATTTAAAATTTATTATTTTATACGGAGGAAGACAGCTGTCTCCCTCTGAGGTCGCCGAATGAATGCCGAAATGATGACGTAGTTAACTACCGTGCCGCGTATTGCACTCCACTTCGCTGTTCACTCAATTCATCGTTCGGATACCCAACTGTCGCGTATGAAAAAATATTCACGGTTTATTCAATTAAAACGTAGCTAGTTTTAGACGTAATTAGTAATTATTCGCGTGAGTGATATTTCTGATATTTCAACATTATATCTCAATTTTCATTATTCTTTTTATGGTTCATATTTAAATAAAGGTTGATAATATTCTATACATCCTTTATATAAAGATACATGCAAATTTTCTTAATATTGCGAAATAATTTGCGCTAAATACAGCTTTAATTAAAAGTATTAAATATCTTGTTAGTCATTATTTAATTTTTCAGCTAAAAAATTAATTTATGACACTACTATTGCTGGAAATTACACTGTGTTACCAAAATTCTTTATAAACTTACGTATAATGTGATCACGACTCGGTAAAATAACTGTTACAAGTTACAACTTATTTAAAAGAAAAAATATAAAATAGTTTCCGAAAACTCTTATTTAAAATATTAAATAAGAAATAAGTCAGAAGTGTTGTTATTTAAAATAATGAATACTAAATAACTTTTCTAGTTTTAGAATAAGACATGAGAGAATGACAGAATTTAGTAACTCAAAAATAACAAGAAAACAGCAAGGATGACACAAATAGCGCTAAAGCGTCTCCCCGAAGACATCTATTTCATATCGACTTTGAATTGTATGAAAGCTCTGCTTTTTTGCCCGTGACGACACAAAGCAGAGTTTTTATTGGATATCGCTCATCGCTAATCTCTCATCATATCCAGTGTGCAATAGGCATTAAGGCCAGTATTCATTGTCTGTTCTTATTTTAAGAACCATTCTAAATAATGTTCCAAGATGCTAATACGGCTTTCTGATTGGTTCATGGCATCTTACGACTGTATTTAAGACGATCTTAAATATAAGATCTGACTGTGAATACAGGCAGAGAGAAATCTGAATATTAATTTGATAGATTTTATAGTTATTTCAGCGATTTATTTCCATCAGGAGCACCGCAAAAAATGGATATTGTTATGTAGTTTACATCCACTTCTTCAGAGGGCAGTAGTGCGCGGCGGCAGTTTGCGGTTACAGGGAAACGGCTCTCACGTCTTCTCTCAGGTTTCTCTGTGTATATATTATAGCAAAATCTATAGACATGCTGGATCAGCTGATTCATCTTTATGATTGCGCGAAAGAGTAAATACAAAACTGTGCAATTGCTAAGCAACAATGTGATTTATTACTGTTAGATACTTGGATCCAGCAAATTAATTAGGTATTACAAGACAACTCAATGTTTGGTTTCGTTCATGGAAGGAACTCGGTTGTGCTCCGGGGGACTCACGTCCCATGAACTGGCTGCATTGCGTTCCATAGTTGTTGAACATACTCGGATACCGATCGGCAACGATTGATATTGGTTGCCATTGTAGATAAACAACTTCGAACATGTTCATAATCAATGAAGGATCTGACAAAAAATTAATAAATTATCTATAATAAAAGTAGCAGAGATGAAGCGAATGCAAAATTCTGTGGGACATAACTCGGTACAAGAAGCAGTGGACATAGCACACGAAGAGGAAGAAAAGAAGAATGTGAATTTGGAAGTTCTAGATGATGTTGAGGAAACAGCTCAACAACCGGTTTATCAAATTCGACCACATCTTCATGAAAAGTACGTCCAGTTTATCTTATATTCATGATATAACTTGTATTTAAATTTTTAAAGAATTATAAAAAGATAATTCTATTAATTTTAGTATGAAACTGATGCTATAATTGATGTAGCTAATATTTTTTTTAATTTAATTATAATTAAAATTTAAACACTATTAACATAGGTTCAAACCTCTAAGTGCGAAAGAAATAATACATGATGTACTATTTGAGCAACTCGCTACGAAAACATATGATGCTCAGGCAGCTGCTCAATGGACCAAGGATATAGCGGATATTATTGAAAGAAAAATTAAAGGTAATACTTATCTTTTTGTATGTGTACAATTCAAATTTATATTAATTATTACATTTACAGTCCTATATAAATATTTGTTATACAGCCTTTTTTATATATTTACAGACTTACAGTTTAAGAGGTATAAATATATTGTCAATGTGGTTTTGGGACAACAACATGGTGCTGGTGTAAAAATAGGTACAAGATGTATTTGGGATGCAGAAGCTGATACATATGCCTATGACAGTTTTATTAATGTAAGAAAGAGATAAATGTTTCAACTTGTGGTCGTATAATGCCCAGATATCTTATTTTTATGTGCTTTTTTTACTTAATTGCATGTTATTTTTCAGGATACTATATTTTGCGTGGCTATAGTATATGCAGTTTATTTTTATTAAAAGATTTTTTCTGGAAATATAAAATGTATAATGGACGAAGCGCATGAATGGAAAGTTATGGTTAAGAAACTTCAGTGAATTTATTAAAGTACAACTTATTATTATACATTGATACATATGCAATGTTATATGTCATGGTATGACACAATTTTTACATATAATTACAAATAATATTTAAATCCATGTACAATATTATGTGCATGATTGTTTGCAGTGATATTTTCTATTTCACATAATTCTTTTTTACATACTAAAATTATTATAGCACCATAATTCACGGTAGTATAGTATAATTAAAATTTATTTATCCTACTTGTTACAACATTTGTCATGATTTATCATTTTATCTTTAGCAAGCCAGTTTTTAAAGTAATTTCTGAAATAATTTAAAGTTTAATGTATTTTGCGTATAAAATGACTTATAAATGTCATTTGTTTGTCAATTAGAAAGAATTTTACTATTTTACTGAAAAATAAGAATATTTTACAGTTTAATTTAGATATTTAATTAATGTTATAATATTATAATTTACATTTTTGCACGAAGTATACATTAAAATAGTTAATGTAAATAGAAATACATATCTTTATGTACCAATAAAAATTTTAATTTAATGAAGTATTTCATTATGTGCTATTAATTAATTTTATTATTTATTTTGTGTATATTGTATAATATATTTATATATCAAAATATATAATAAACTTGAGAAATGTACAGAAAGCACTAGATATAACATTTTGTATTAAGCATTCCGTTACAGTAAATGTTATTGCAGTACATTTAAAAATATTTAATAATGTCATTGGGACAAATAATACTTATAATAATAAAAATAAAATAAATAAGCTTCCCAAAATATTCCTGCTATTATTTATAAACATGATGACAAAGCGTATTAACGTTCACTTTCATGTAAGAACACGATTTGTTTTGATTACTTATTACATAATCTCTATCATTTATTAAATATTAACATATATGCAGAATTACTTTTTAAATCATATTTTCCATAAATATTTAAAATAAAATAGATATATGATTTAAAGAGACAGAGAGGAAGAAAAAGTATAATGTATAATTCAAATGAATGAATCTTATATTGGCAAGGAAACATTATGAAATTTATAAAACTCTGCTCTAAGACTACACATTTTTGCATTAGTTTCTCTAATTTCTTTTGATTATATTATGATAACAAATGTATATCGTGTGTATGTGTGTCATGTGCTTCATTAATTTGTTAATATAATAATAAGTTACATAATGACGCATGGCAACGCGCAGCATAATGGAAGGCAAACTGGAACAACAGCACCCCCTTTGCTGCTTTTGCTTTTACTTTTGCTAGAGGCTTCGTATTCGTATTTTCCGCTGGCTTTTTGCCATCCTCCCTGAAAAATAATGAACATAAGGATTGATAAAATATCGCGAATTAGGAATATTCTATATAATACATTAAATATTTGTTATATAAAGTTATAGAATCTTACGCTAGATTGTGACATGGCTGCGCTAGATTCTTCTTTCTTGGTGAATTCAGCCGAACCAGGAGGATAATAGACTGGTGGTCCAGCAACATTCTTGCTTTTAACTGTTGGTGGTGTATGTGGGACAAAATCAACTTCTTTCTTTGTAGCCGATGATTCCTTTTTGCTTCGACG